TGCTATAGACATAGATATGCAGATAAACAGGTCGTCTTTTGTATCGGTGCACTTGCTATAGACATAGATGTGCAGATAAACAGGTCGTCTTTTGTATCGGTGCACTTGCTATAGACATAGATGTGCAGATAAACAGGTCGTCTTTTGTATCGGTGCACTTGCTATAGACATAGATGTGCAGATAAACAGGTCGTCTTTTGTATCGGTGCACTTGCTATAGACATAGATGTGCAGATAAACAGGTCGTCTTTTGTATCGGTGCACTTGCTATAGACATAGATGTGCAGATAAACAGGTCGTCTTTTGTATCGGTGCACTTGCTATAGACATAGATATGCAGATAAACAGGTCGTCTTTTGTATCGGTGCACTTGCTATAGACATAGATGTGCAGATAAACAGGTCGTCTTTTGTATCGGTGCACTTGCTATAGACATAGATGTGCAGATAAACAGGTCGTCTTTTGTATCGGTGCACTTGCTATAGACATAGATGTGCAGATAAACAGGTCGTCTTTTGTATCGGTGCACTTGCTATAGACATAGATGTGCAGATAAACAGGTCGTCTTTTGTATCGGTGCACTTGCTATAGACATAGATGTGCAGATAAACAGGTCGTCTTTTGTATCGGTGCACTTGCTATAGACATAGATGTGCAGATAAACAGGTCGTCTTTTGTATCGGTGCACTTGCTATAGACATAGATGTGCAGATAAACAGGTCGTCTTTTGTATCGGTGCACTTGCTATAGACATAGATATGCAGATAAACAGGTCGTCTTTTGTATCGGTGCACTTGCTATAGACATAGATGTGCAGATAAACAGGTCGTCTTTTGTATCGGTGCACTTGCTATAGACATAGATGTGCAGATAAACAGGTCGTCTTTTGTATCGGTGCACTTGCTATAGACATAGATGTGCAGATAAACAGGTCGTCTTTTGTATCGGTGCACTTGCTATAGACATAGATATGCAGATAAACAGGTCGTCTTTTGTATCGGTGCACTTGCTATAGACATAGATGTGCAGATAAACAGGTCGTCTTTTGTATCGGTGCACTTGCTATAGACATAGATATGCAGATAAACAGGTCGTCTTTTGTATCGGTGCACTTGCTATAGACATAGATATGCAGATAAACAGGTCGTCTTTTGTATCGGTGCACTTGCTATAGACATAGATATGCAGATAAACAGGTCGTCTTTTGTATCGGTGCACTTGTTATAGACATAGATATGCAGATAAACAGGTCGTCTTTTGTATCGGTGCACTTGCTATAGACATAGATATGCAGATAAACAGGTCGTCTTTTGTATCGGTGCACTTGCTATAGACATAGATATGCAGATAAACAGGTCGTCTTTTGTATCGGTGCACTTGCTATAGACATAGATATGCAGATAAACAGGTCGTCTTTTGTAGCAAAGAGGGTAAATAAAATATGAATGCCACCGAGAAACTAGAGTTGACAAAAGAGAATGAAGGAAACTGATTTAATGAGGGAGCGAAGGGGCAGTCGAACAAATATAGTTTCACATGATACTCATCCAAGGGTCATACATGGAAGAAAGGTGGATGGCACAAGAACATAAAAAAGGATTAATATGCACATTGAAAATAATATACACAATATATAGAGGATAAACAGCCTAAAGAAGTTAAGCTAAATAATAAGTGCAAAGAAACTGAAGAACAAAGACAGAACACATGTATAAAAGACAGGTATAAAAGAATACAAGAACTATCAGGTTTTCGAAAATATATACAGCAAGCAGTTGCTCGAAAACACAAGAAGGCGAAATATTAATGAACGAAGAGAAGGGAATTGAAAAATGGAGAGTATATATAAAAGAGCTATACTATTATAACAGCAGACCAGACAGGGAGAGCCATGGGTCTGGGTTTGATTTTATTTGTTTTAAGAACCGACATTACAGCACTCGGGGCATTCCCATAAGCGCTCCGTCGCCATCTTAAGCAGCTAGCGAAGAGTTCCGATACTAATGGTGCCAGTAGCTTTCTGATTAAACGGCCGTCTTGCCTTCACTCTGGGCCTTGAGCATCTGCCAGAACCTCTCGCCACTTCGCCCTATATCAATCTCACCAGACTGTGGTGATCCATCTGCTCCTCCAGACTGTACACGCTCCCCCACAAGGCACTAACCACGTCTGCCTTATCATGTATCAGTATTCCACCAAGTTGTGCAGAGCCAACCAGCCTGTATGGGAACTGGAAGTAAAACAAGTAAAGTTCCCGTTTCACGACTTTCGGCGCATCGGGCATATGGGCAGAGCGTCCCATATTTTTACAGACCATCAGCACTCTGTGGGTAATGTGCTCGGCTGTCTTTATTTTCCCAGGACAGCCCATCCTGGTACCCATTTTAGACTGGGTCGACCTGCGACGTCCCATACCACGACAAAAATCCACGCTGCAGTGTCGGACTCGCAACGCCTTAGCCACGGACGCCGCCATGGGAACTGGGAAGGACCATTATTACTGAAAGCAGAAGTATGAGATGTTATAAACCACATGAAGAAATGTAATTCTCTATGGTAAAATAACATCACGATTGAAGAATAACATTTGCTGCTGAACTAGGTTTAGAAGTGTTGACAAAATTGTTCAGTGATGTTTATGATGATGACCTTTTCAAATCTTTATCATACCTTTACCGAAAACATCGGATACAGTGAAATGTGGAGGAGATGTGACAATTAGTTTAATGAATCATGTAATCAAAATACTAATGAGAATTTTAATAAGAAGAATAAGGTGTAAAACTAAACCAAAAATTGGAAAAGAGAAGTATGGTTTTCCTGAAGGTAAAAGCACAAACAAAACCTATCTTGAGAACGCTTTCAGAAAGATGATTGAAATGAACAGAGATCTATATTTGTACTTTACTTCTTACACTAAAGCAGTTGACAAAGTAAAAACAAAAAGAAATTATTAGAATTTTGGAAACCTTAAACATTAATGGTAAAGATCTGAGACAAATTAAAAAATATATATTAAAAAAAAAAAAAAAAAATAAGAACATGTACTAACAAAAAGAAGCAGCCATTTACATTGACAGGCAGGTTGCAACTGTCCAAACCATTAAACAAGGCGTTAGACAGGGATGTGTACTGTCACCCGAATTTGTTCAGTTAGTACAGTGAAATGATAATTAGATTCATAAATGGTATGCTAGGAATATCGGATGGTGGGTATACTGTTAGCAACCTGCGATTTGACGACGATATAGTTTTGATCGCTGAAAATTAAACACAACTGTAAGAAATGGTCAAAACAGGAGTCTTGGTTTGAAGAAAAGAAAAACATAAGTAATGTTAATTACATAGAAAATGGACTCTCCGAAATGCAGTATCAAAGTAATTGAGACAATTCTCAAGCAAGTTGATGCGTTTTAATACTTGGGTACCCTGATAACATCAGATGGAAGATGCACTATTCAGAAGAAAAAAAAGTCAATAAATGCCTTTATTATCACTTTTGCGGTGTGCCCATTGTCATTTAATATTTCAAGTTTAATAGATGTTAAAAACTGAAAGAAAACACAAGGAAAGAAACAAACAGCCCCACAGAAAGTATTGTCGGGTTTATAAGAATTCAATCAAATAAACAATCACTAGCGCGCCCACCGGCACGCATACGGTAAGCCGTATTTTTAACATCACGTGAGAACGTAAACCAACGTTGGCGCTTATCAAATCTCCAAGAAGTTAGGATATATTTCATCGACCACCACCAGCTTTTACCAGTAAAATTATGCACAGTCCCTCATCTCCCCGCATAAACCGTTAATTATTTGAAATACATTTAGGATAACATTATCTATATTCGAGTTTCAAAACAAGGTATTTTTCTCGTCAACAACATAGTTCCGCCGAGAAAAGTCAGAGACAGAGCTTCAGAAATTATTTTGAGAATGGTACCATTTTATTTTTAGAGAAAGGTAACCAAAACACCATGAAGGAACCAAAAAAAAAAAAAACTTTATTAAAACGTCCTTATAAACAAACAAGCGCTGCGAGTCCGACTCGCAATTCCAATGTACCGCCACCGAAACCCACTGCAGTGGATAGTATAATGCTGACCACATTATCCAACTAGTGACGATTGGTCTGTAAAAATATGGGGGCTGTTCTCATATGCCCGATGCACTTAAAGGCGTGAAAATGGATCTTTACTTTTACTTAATAAACAAACAAATATATAATTTAAACTTGGTTATATATTTAATTAGAATCGACATTCTTATTCAATAACTTTTTGCGGTACTACCCCCCCCTCCCCTTTTATCCCTCAAATTAGTTTCCTACCAAGCGGCTGTGGCCACTCCCAGTCTGTGCCATCGATGTCCTGCCCTAATAACTTTGATCTCATTAATACATTTATCGCTGAAGTCTTTAAAGAAACTTGATTTTATAAATTCTAATATTGCTGAGCAAAGAAAAACCTTTTTCAACAGCTGCAGAAGAATGAGGAGATATCAAAAGATTAAGCATTAATCTTGATTCTAATGGTAAGCGATATTCACCCCCACATTTTTTTTCTGAAATTTGAAATCAAAACTTTTATGTTAAACATGGTTGATTTTGCAAGGTTAGTTACTTCCATTCTTTTTTTATCCACAATGTTCTTTTGTTCAACAAGGCTGGTAAATTACGTGACAAACGGTATAATTAACGTCGGTATTCTTTTATAGCACTTATGAATCTAGCATACACTATCACATTTTAAAATAATGATGCAACATTTCTAACGCGTTCCAAACGTAAAGTTTTGCTCGGCAGTGGTCAAATAGTACCAAATCTCTACGAAAACGTCGGCAGCCCTGGTCAGAGATAGTCTTCCGCCAACAGCGGGCAAGGAGGGCGGCCATTTTGTCACATGTTCACATCGCCTTCTCACATGACCTCTTGTTTGGCCCCGTGATCAAGCTCCCACTGTTTCTAAGCAGATTTGAACACAATCCAGGAATATTTCCATCATGGAGATGCTGGAACAGGCATTGGATTCCAGGTATGGAGAGCGGTGTGAGACGTTTCGGGGATGAAAGTGTTGAATTTGTGGGTGAACTGGGCTGGACTAGGAAAGATCCGCGACCGGGGATGAAGGCGATGTCTGTCTGCTGCATGTGTGAGTGCACGTGGCGGGTGTCTAAATTTAGCAGGCTCAGACACTGAGGCAGCTGGAATTCAAAAGGGCTCACCTAAGGCTAGGGCCTTTTGGATGTCTGTTGACTTGGACTGTACCAGACTGATTAACTGCCAGGACACGGTCTACCGTATGTCGTAAAGTAGTTCCTATAAAAAGAATAAAACTAATACTATACTGCATAAGTTATGTATATACTATACCAATAATACTATTAAAATAACTCACAAGTGATAAATGAAATGAACGTTTAAAGACAGAGGTAAAATAATTAGGAATTTTTACATACCAATATGCCATAAAATCTCACTGTAAAAGCAAGAACGTAAAAAAAAAAAAACACACACACACCTGCACACAGACATTTACTATTTGCTTACAGTATAATTTCATCTTATGGTTTTTTGTTTTCTTTACTTTACTAACTTTTTTTGGGGCCCTCCTACTCATTGCCATAGGATATATTATCTATCATGCTATGGATTGCATAAGGAGAATCTTAGCAGAATACACACACTCTGTACCAATATATATACTTTACCCCTGGGGCAATGCCAGGATCTATTTATAATCACCTGCTAGGTGACATATTTTGCTGGTAAGCTTAACTCTTTGAGTCCTGGAAGACTTTGCATATATTTCCAAACGGCACTTTAACCTCTGTGAACAATTCAGCAAGTGTACAACTTGTATTTGGCAAGGTGCACAGTGACTGAAAGTATCAACACTGGAAGCCAGATTTATTAGCATTTTCTGACCAAATGTGAACATTGAAAAAGCACCACTCATGATTGATTGGATTAATGAAAAGAGCAATTTACACATCATGCATTGCTTGGGACTCCATGAGTAAAGTTTATTTTCCTGTTGTCAACCTTGTTGATATGTCGGCCCAAACTGAGCAACTAGACATCATATAATATCTTCACTCGTCGCTCACCCTGCTGTGCCGATTTTACATCACCTAGGACTTGCAGTCTATTCTTCTGTACCAGGGCTAGTCAACTGGTGGCCCATGGGCCAAATTTGGCTGCAAGAGGTCTATCAAGCACCCTGCGGACCAAGGCCAATTATATCAGTCAGGCACACTTGGCCTCTCATATCAACTTTATTCCAATTTTTTTCAAACCAATAGGTGTCACAACAAATGGTCAAAATGGAAGATATGAACATGATCAAAAATGATGAATGAATATACCATAAAAAGGCTAAATATTATAAAAGTGGTCAAAACTTTCATTAAGAGAAAATCATAAACAGATTGGAAAATCAACACTGGTTATAACTACGAAAAAGATATTCTGAAACACCTTAACAGAACAGACCAAGTCACAGTTTTTCACTTACGTACTGAACACTGCAGACTGAATATAAATACTCATATAAATAAGGTATGAGTCAAACAGCTCTCTGCCAGTGTCTTCATGCTGAACAGACTCCAGAACACGTCCTGCAAGACTGTCCTCTCCTGGCGGAGCTGCGGAGCAACATATGGCAACACCCAGTAGAACTGTCAACTAAGCTTTGGGGAACCTAAGAGACCTTGAAAAGACATCCCAGTTTATGGCCCACAGTATATTATGCGCATGACCAGAGATAGCTGAAGAAGAAGATAAAAGTGGACTCTGGAGGCCAGATTTTTAATGTGCTCTTTTTTTTCCCCCCTTTAAAAATGACCTTGGCTCCTAGGTTGACCCATCCTTGTGTGGGTACCAGATGAAGTTCTGGGAAGTAAAGGTGGCCGGCGTAATACTGACCACATCTCCCACCAAGTGCTGATCAGTCTGTAAAATATAGGTCGAGACCTTTAGGCTCGGTAGGCCTTTAGGCGTGGAAAAAGGTCCTTTACTACTGTAACTACATAACTGATGAAATGTAAAATGTTAGAGAACAGGTTAAGCTATTGTTGCTATTAAAAGAGAAGGTCTCTTCCCACACCACTCATAGCCTCGGATCCTAAAAAGATTTCTATTGAGAACATCTTCTCCTCAGTGCATTTGTTTCCTATTTTGGTGCGTAAGACTTCACAATCTAATGTCAGTTGCTGCAGTGGACTGACTATCTGTTGAATTATATAAGTTCATTCACTGGCTTATGCATTTTATATTAAATCAAGTATAGTATTTTATTTGCTTTCCCTTCAGCGCAATAGTAATAAAATAATAATAACAATAACCAAATACTAATGTGCTGAATGACAAATAAATGTAATTTTATACTTAAAGTAATATGAAACATTGATAAACAAAAATTCTTTGTTATGGTCTGACCACACATTTTACTCTTCCCTGGCCAGCCAAGATAAAAGTAATGATTCTGCAGATGAACTGCGCCTTTCTGCTGGAGTTGATACAGATCTGGGTAAGGATTTTCTCAACTTTGTGTGTGTCATTGTACGATTGTCGATCAGAACTGTTTATCCTCTGTCACATTTGGTCACAGAATGTTTTTGTTAATATGGAATCATCATATTTTTAAAACAATAATATTTAGTAGTTTATATGATCGTAAGTAATTTGAACAAAAATATATTTTCTTTTCACTGTTTAGAGTGTTTTGAAGATTTATTTTTCAGTGACCCTTTTTCCTAGTATAAAATGGACACTGGATAATTAATGGAACCTAAATAAGACCACTGAGATGTTGACCATCTTTCCCATCAAGTGCTGGTCAATCTGAAATGTATGGAGCTATATGAGGCTATCAGCATGTGCCCAGGGCGCCGAAACTGTGGGGGCTGAGGCGCTAGTCTTCCCAGATAAGCTTTAGAGCTGGTAGAGCACTCCCCCCCCCCCCCCCCTCCCCAAATTTTTTCTTTTCCCATAACTTTGTATATGTGTTAAATTGCTATGCATTTGTTTATACATTTAATGTTATATTAGATTTATAATTATATTTATTTGTCATTCATCACAAACTCACATAAATGATACTAAAAGCCCACTTAAAGAGGGCTTCAGCCACCCCCACCCCATCTTTTTCCTGAAAATTATGATTTTATATTCTCTATTTGATTAAAAATTGCTTTCTTAAAACGGGAAACAATTTATTTGAAATGGAGACCATAAAAAATTGTTTGAGCAGAAATGAAACAAAGTTAAGCTAGTTATTTTTAACACTGTTGCCTCGAGAAAGCATTTTTTTTTCCGCCCCAGTGTTTATGGGTTTTGATTACATCAAGTCTTTGGTCTGTAAGCACCACACCTATATAACAACTTTGATAGTGGTTGCATTCTGCATGGTGTGTGTGTGATTATATTTGTGGATTTTTATGTTTAATTAGATATCATTTGGGGCGTGACAACAAATAAAAAAATTTAAAAAATTGTGGAGTCATAGTTATATCATAATAATCTAATTATGTCTTCACTTTGCTCCACTTGGCTTAGTCAACCAAGCCACATTTATCATTGTCAGAGCAGATGGAAGGTGAAGAGAGCATTTAGCTCTTACCTTCATTTGTTTTAAATTTTTTTTAAAATTCGCTTATTAAAGTGAATACAAATGAAAATGAATTATTTGAGTGGTTTGACCTTTACAATTACCATGACCCGTTTCTGCTGCTCAGTGATCACAGGTTTTATTGAAGCTAAGACTCCAAATTTCTTCTTCTTGTTTCTCATTTTGTTCTAGTTTTTCAGGGTAAAGTTTCAAAGAAATGGAAGGATGTTTTTTTTTGTAACGACATTTTTAAAAGGTCATTTTTAAAGATTTGTTACGTGATCTAACTGGAACTATATGTCTTGTCATTAATTCTAATAGCAGAGCATAAGAGACCAATTTCTGTTATTAGTGAAAATAGTGAAACAGTTTTAAAAAAAATGAAGTAAATATAAACAGAATAATAAATAGCTAGAAGAGATATATAACAGCAGTTTTTCTTATTACTATTTCGTTTATGGTAACGTTTTCTGGCCCAGAAAGAGAGTGACTTTTCTTCCATTCATGGCTTGTCATGTCGCAGGGCCTGTCCAGTGTGCAAGGGTGTCACGCTTGGTGACCGGCCACCAACACATAAAATTTTACTCGTTGTCAGCGGCTGGCGATATCACAGGGTCTATATTCCACAATGTGAGCGCTTTTAACAGTCCCGAAACATGTAGCAATGACTGCCTGCAAGCTAGGTCACATTACTGTATGCAGCGTATAGTATAAGCTGCATGCAGTCCTGGAATGTAGGCTGCATTCTCTCGTGGGATGTAGGCTGAGGCTGTATGGTTGGGGGGTTAGGGCCAGTTCTACATGTTTTATGACAGTTAAAAGCGCTCATATCGTTGAATATAGAGCACGTGATATCGCCAGCTGCTGACAACGAGTAAAATACTACATGTTGCTGACCGGTCACTAAGCGTGACACCCCTATGAAATAGTACAGGCCTTGCGGCACGATAAGGCATGAATGGGAAGGGAAGTCACTTTCTTTCTGGGCCGGAAAACATTAAAAACACCACTAATTCTAATGGCATTGCTTGAAAAGCCAAATTCTGTAAAGACTTGAAAATAAGAATACAAGGAGAGAAACAAACAGAAATAAAATAAGAATAAACAAGAGATATATCACAGTTTTTATTGTCTCTAAATCTAACAGCAGAGCATGAAACATCAAGTTCTTTGCAGAGCATTTTAGTGGATGCAGTTCCATTTCATTGTTTCAGTGTGCAAGGTTAAGCAAGAGCTGAATCAGCTGGAAAGTTGTAGTATGGAATTGTCTGGGACTATTGAAGCAGATTTAGGTAATTAATACCATATTCTAATACGGAATCTATTTTCTATATGTGTTCCTTCTCTTGGTTGTAATTTGTATTTTTATTAGCTGGTTTTCTTATCTGTTCTTGTGAATGTTTTTTGGTAGATTTTATGTGTCGTTACATTGAGACAAGTTTTTAAAATGTGAAACTAGAACCTCTAGCACTCGAGGCGGACACCATGCTTTGAGACCATGCCGCGCCCGCCCCATGAGCCAATTCGTTTTGAATGGTTGGATTACCATTTTGTGTGTTCATAGTTATTAGTTTTTCTCATAGAATTCAGGAAATGTTGGCTAGATTTTTTATAAAGTTTTTTTAAAAAAGAAATCTGTATTTTCGTTTAATTGTGTGTTGTAATTATTTTTAAGTTTTATTACAAAATTATGTGCAGGATTTAATAATCTTGTTATCATATTCTTTTAACTCACTGCGTCCTAGAATGTTTGACCAATGCAGAAATGACTGCTTTAAATGCTTTTTTAAAGACGCTAATGACAGGGAGGAAGTAGTTATACTTTTTCTCCCTCCCACCAGATGAATAACTACTGAAATGAACATAATTGTGACATAATGTCGGCAGTCAAAATCTGTGTAATTTAATGAGTGAAATTGTTTAAATTGTACACAAGAAAATCCTAGGGCTCAGCCAATCGATAGTTCTTTTACTTCTGGATCATCTGCAATGTTTAGGTATACAGGCTTCTCTGTCTACTAATAAAAATTCACCATTGGATAACTGCATTTTTGGGGGGGGGTTTTGTTAAACAGAAAAGCCAGGTTTCTTTAGTATTCTCTGAACAAATGTAAAATGTACCCGAACACATTATATGATGTTTGGGATTCATGAAGAAAAGCCAATCCTACATCATGTGTTTAGGTTACTATGTGAAAAATACATTGCCCCCCCCCCAGATGCTATTTTATTGGAGTGTAGAGCCTGGGATCTGTTTGTGGTCTTCTAACTTGAACATCAATTTATTTGTGATCTGCTAGCTTGAACATCAATTTATTTGTGATCTGTTAGCTTGAACATCAATTTATTTGTGATCTGTTAGCTTGAACATCAATTTATTTGTGATCTGTTAACTTGGACAACAGTTTATTTGTGATCTGTAAACTTGGCCATCAGTTTATTTGTGATATTTCAACTTGGACATCAGTTTATTTGCGATCTTTTAACTTGGACATCAGTTTATGTGTCATCTGTTAACTTGGACATCAGTTTATTTGTGAACTGTTAACTTGGACATCAGTTTATTGGTGATCTGTTAACTTGGACATCAGTTTATTTGTAATCTGTTAAAATGGACATCAGTTTATTGGTGATCTGTTAACTTGGACAACAGTTTATTTGTGATCTGTTAAAATGGACATCAGTTTATTGGTGATCTGTTAACTTGGACAACAGTTTATTTGTAATCTGTTAACTTGGACATCAGTTTATTTTTGATCTCTTAACTTGGACATAAGATGTTTTGTGATCTCCTACCTTGGACATCAGTTTATTTGTGATCTGTTAACTTGGACAACAGTTTATTTGTAATCTGTTAACTTGGACATCAGTTTATTTGCGATCTGTTAACTTGGACATCAGTTTTTGTGTGATCTGTTAACTTGGACATCAGTTTATTTGCGATCTGTTAACTTAAACATCAGTTTATTTGCGATCTTTTAACTTGGACATCAGTTTATGTGTCATCTGTTAACTTGGACATCAGTTTATTGGTGATCTGTTAACTTGGACATCAGTTTATTTGTGATCTGTTAAAATGGACATCAGTTTATTGGTGATCTGTTAACTTGGACAACAGTTTATTTGTAATCTGTTAACTTGGACATCAGTTTATTTGTGATCTCTCCTACCTTGGAAATAGGTTTATTTGGGACCAGCTACATTCTATTAGAATAGTTTATTGATCTTGTTTGTCTTTATGTTACTGAATTGCTTTGAACATGATAGGTAAATATTACATCACTTGACATCAGCCAGGCCACTAACATGAGAGCCATGGTCTTCTATCTCCACAGGGACTTCTTCTGCATTTACTCTTAAAATGTGGTTGGCATGTTGTGTTGTAGTTTACAGCTAGGCTGCAATATCTGCACCTTTCATGGATATGTTGACGTAGTGTGAGCTGCATGTGGTAGATAGCAAAAGATAGGACAATTTGGTATGCATCATCAAGGGCCTAAATTGCCTGTGTTGCAGTGGGAGATAAAGATGAAGGTAGAAATATAAAATGTACAAATATGCATAAAACAAGTTGCCTGTTGTGCATGAGGAATACCTGGTCACACATACTGTGTTGTTTGGGACTTTATGAGTGGATGTAATTTATGGGCATTACTTTTACTTCTTCTGTGGCTTAGGCGTTGTGGACGCACTTCATGATGCCGGTGTCCCGGGTTTGATCCCAGCTGCAGGCCCTGCATTGGTTTCCACAGTGGTAACTAGAGCCCACTGCCCAGAAAGCAGTGGACGTAAAATTTGCCTAGAAAAAATGCCACAACAGCAAAAAAAAAAAAAAAAAAAAATGCTGGGGTTGGTTCTGCAATGTCCTGGAAAGGATTCACAGCTTTTATCTTTTACTTCTGGTCTACCTTTTCTTCTTGGTCACTCCTCTTCTACCTTGGGGTGTAGAAGTTTGCCAGAGAGATCACCAGACACCTCTATCAGCAGTTTTCTTTGCTTCTGGTCTACCTACAGACTGTAAAGAAACCATACTTTACCATCTTCCATTTACGTTTCAAGTGTGCATTGTAGAGATGTTCTTTATGCTTGCAGATCATGCAGACGAGCAGGCAGCAGCCATAGCTAGTGTTCAGCATCAGCAAGGAACCATCACACTTGACCCCACGCTGCAGTACCACATCAGAGCAGACAACAATGCAGGTAAACTGCTCACTCTAAAGTATGCATGCAGCTCTTTGTGTATGTATTACTGTGTATGTGTGTTGGTGTGAATGTGCGCCCCTGGATAAAAAATCCCTTTATGTATACATGTCGTTGTGTACATATGCATGTGTATTTGTGGGAATGTATGCCTGTCTGGAAAAATATCCTTTGTGTATACACATTGTTGTGTATGTATGCATGTGTGTATGTATGTGTGTATCTATTACTGTGTATAAGTGTTGGTGTGAATGTACACCTGTATGTAAAAATGTCTTTGTGTATACACCTCAATGTGTACGTGTGCATGAATGTATGTATTACTGTGTATGTGTGTTGGTGGGAATGTACACCTGTCTTTAAAAATGCCATTGTGTAAACACATTAGTGTTTACATATGCATGTATGTATGATGTGCAAGAGTGTGTGTAAGAATCAATTTGGCTATATGTGTGTCTATTGTTGTATAAATGTGTATATACATATGCATGTATATATGTTAATAATATGCATGAGTGTATGTTGTGTGTGTATATAATTTGTTTGAATGTATGTATTTGTCATACAATGCTTTTATCTTCATGCTTAAGATCCACATTGTGTATGTAAGCATATGAACTTAACATCATACCTAAAATACAATTGCTGAGTGAATGATGAGTGGCTGGATAGATTGATGGTAAAATAGGCTGATGTGCTTAGTTTGAGACTCTTTGAAAATAGACTTTGTTCTTCCGTTCATGCTGTCTCTACACAAACAGAAAATAGACTTTGTTCTTCCGTTCTTGCTGTATCTACACAAACAGAAAATAAAGGGTCAGTTTACGGGTTCTTTCTTGCTTGTTCTGTGAATGTTTAAAGTCAGTACCAGGTTCCCCGTGTGGGTTCCGGAGCCCCATTTTCGGGGGAAGGGAGAATAGACCCACTGCCCCCTAATAGTCATGTGACAGAAGATGACTAATTTAGGGATGTTTCCTTCATCTTCCTGAGATGTGGGGAACCAACAGTCTGCATACCAAAAAAGCCAGATCTGTGAAATTCAAGTTCTGGAACAGGGCAAAATTTCAACATGACAACCAGAACTTTCTGTTGAGTTTTTGGTTGGTGAATGCAAAGAAGAGGGAAGAAGGTGAAGAAGGGGTTTATAGAAGTGATGAGGGTAGATGGTACTGGAACTGAGTTAGAGAGATAATAGCAGTAGGTAAAATTGTTCTATTGTAAGTACAGACAGATGCTTCACTGAAAACAGATACCATGAGGAAATAACACAAAGCCTACCTTGCAACATATGAGTAAATGGTATCACTAAAGCAAGGACAGTTTATATTTGGTTGTGGTCAGGCATGATTGAGCTACTATATAAGATTAGCCAGTACCACCTGTTTTCTCTTTATTCTAAATGTTGGTCAACATATACCAAACCTGACATCCCACTTATGCCCGCAACTTCAGGCAGAGGGTAAGACCAACTTATACTGGAAGGACAAATGCAGCTTGAAAACTTATTTTTATGGCAGGGCAGACCACACCCTCTGCCTTAGTTGGCAGCTGGTCTAGGACAGAATCTCTGACAGACAGAGCACTGCTCTTCTGGTCCAGTAGCTTCTGCAGCCTGCTTGATTCCAAATGAAGTGTTGTTACCTTTCCTTTAGAGTAAACAAAGCCGGCCCAGAGAGGGAGGGATTATGCTGCTTGAGCAACACATGGTCTCTACAAAAATACTGCCCAGCCTACTTGCAAAATATTAATAGAAGGTACATATACCATAGCTTGCTCTAGAATTCTCTACAGTTTCTGTAAAGAAAGGATCCTTATGATGTCTTCGACAAATAGCACATATAGTGCCAGACCTGTATTTCTATAAACCACTTGGCACTCAGTGGGTGATGAAATCAGCATCACATCAGCTGCCTTTACCTCCCAGAAAATTACCTGGTATCCATTTTAGACTTAGTCAACCTGGGAGCCAAGGTTTATTTTTTGTGGGGGGGGGGGGGGGGATAATTTTCAATGCAGACTTGAACCCTAGACCTTTGGGTCAGCATGTGAGAGTTTAACCACCATGGCGACCTGACTATTCTGTATTGGATTGGCGAATGGGGGAAGGAAAGATGTTTTTTCACAGTGCCAGTTTTTGATTGTGTGGACAGGTCAGGTCACCTACAGAGTTGTCCAGGTAGCTCATGATGGTTCAGACGTTTCTCAGGTGGTTACAGGTGCAACAGCTTTTGCTGGCCAACAGGTGATTCTTTATGCTGTAGTTTTGTTGCTTCAGTTAAAAGTTAAAATCGAGAGGATTGACTTCATTGCACCGGGTTTTATCCGATATGGCTCGGTCTCTCTTTGCAGAACGGCTAGCCACCTGCCAAGATCGCTGCACAAAACATAAACTCTGTTGCTCTGGTGACGATCCTCGGGGATGTATGCCATGAAAAGAACACGGCCTTCAGAGCACAGGGCAAACGGCTTGACCACTTTGCCACAGACACCTCTTCACTTGGTTACTACTATCATTTTAGTAACACTCTTTTGTTTGTTTGCTTGTTTGTCTGTGGTGCATTTTCATTCTTATGTTTGTGTATGTTCATTATACAGTGGTGGCCAAAAGTTTCAGACTGCCTGGTGAATAATTTTTCCATGCTATTATGGAGTAATGCTTCCACTGCTCTTGAAGGGTCTTATAAAGGCCATCATTACAGTTGAAAATAGCTGCTAAAATAACAGGTGATGGGATTCCCCATAATTGTTTTTAGTAATTATTTAAATAATTACTGTGGTACCTCGGTAACATAATTAGTTTGTTCCAAATCCTTGAACATATACCAGACAATTAAACAAAAAAAGTTAATTGCCTGTCCTTTTACAGGACATTGCAGAAACAACCCCAGTACTTTTTTGGCGGTTGTGGTTTTTGTAGGCAAATTTACATCCAGTAGTTTGCCATTGCTTTCTGGACAGTCCTTTCCCTTGACCAGTTTGTGTGTATTCATTGCTGTATTTTTGTCAACAGTGTTTGTTTATTGTTGTAATTCTGTTGATAGTTTTGTGTTGATTATTGTTATGCTTCTATTAAAAGTGTCTATTTATTGTTGGGTTCTTTTTACGATGTCTAGCCCAACTACACTCTGGTTGACCTTTCATTCATTCTTGCTTAGTCTAGTCTAAGTTACAGGGGTTTATTGAGAACTGGCCCTAATTCCCACCTCACCCACCCCACCCCACAACTTCAGCTTAGGTCCCACGAGAGAGTAGAGGGTATGTCCTATGGTTTCAGAATTGTTAACATTTATCACAACAACGAGTAAAAGACACTGCATAGCTTGCCGCCTATATATACACCATATACAAGGCTCTTCCCGAACGCAAGACAACGTGACACCCCTCTAACATAGACTATTCTGAGTAAGCATGAATGAGAGCCCAGTTATCCTCTATTTGGGCCGGACTTAATAAGTTCCCATTGTTGTTCTTCCATAGTTAATTTTGTCTTTGTTTATTGTCATCTTTCAATTAACAGTGTTTGTTTATTGTTGCCTGAATAGGTGATGTATTGAAGAATATTTCACTTAAACAAATACAGATGTAAATTCCAGTAAATCAAGAGATTAAAAAAAAAAAAAGACACTGGCTGAAATAGGTCACAAGTTGAGAAAAACTGAATAAAATCTAAATTAAACATCTTTACACTGGAACCCACAGGGTCACAGAAAATGCATCATCCTTTGACCTGGTGAAATCTTTGTAACATTGTATAAACTTTTTTGTTTCAGACAGTCATTCAGAGTCCCTTTAGTAATGGTGGCAGCCCCACTGCTGATGCCCAGGAGACCCGGTTTACCTACTTTCCTACATCTGCAGCAGGCGATGGGACTGTTGTCACAGCACAGGGTTCAGACCCTGTTGCCGCTGGAGCTTTAGGTACTCTTAATTAACTCATACTCTGTGTAATCGTTTACCACTTCTATATAATAAAGGCACTACTTTTCATGCCTAGTTTAACCCTGTCACCCAGAGAAACCAAAATGTCAGTTTTGCCATCCATTTCAAATCTGCGAGAAACCCTTATTTCGATTTGATTTATGAGTTAGATTATTTTCACAGCACTCCGGACACATCCATAGGTGCTCAGATTCCCCTCTCAACATATTCATCTGCGTTGCGCAGTCAATAGTGCCAGTCCTATGTTGGTTAACAAGACTTTGTATGCGTCCGGTGTGCTTCTCATGCTTGGCTGTGCCGATCTTTACTCCTAATTCTTGTATTCTTAGCAGTGATGTGGACATGTTGCTTCCAAAATCCTCAGAACGGCCTATCTCTCTAAGGGCATTGACAATGTCTGTGATCCATGGGCCGGCCATCTTTAATTATTAGCACCATTTCGGTTTATTCGCATTGGTCAGTCCCCAGGATATCTGTTTTTTTTTTTGTTTTTTTTAGATTTTTAACTCTTTTTGCACCTGCACAGTATTTAGATGGACTGGATATGATTATATATGCTAAAACTAACCACTGAGATTGTGTGGTATGCAGTGGTCGGAACTCGAGTTGTGCAGCTAGGACTCAAATCACGTAATTAAGGCTTTGTCTTAGGGAGCTTTGTCCAGCGACTCGGCTTGCAACTTGTAGCTTCAGCTGGCCGCTGTGGGGTTTGGTAATCAGCATCACAATGTAAAACATATTCATACAAAACAGGACAAATTAAATATGAAGCACATCTGCTAATGAAGTAAATATAATAAAAAAAAGTGTGACAACTTGTCAGATTTTTTGCCAGTTGTTTTTAAACAACAATACGCCCAGCTCTCTAGCGTAGTTGGCTAGACCGGATTGCGCGGTGACCGGGTGATGAACTCCTTGTGGTCCGGGTTCACTCCCAGGGGTAGGCAGAAAAGCCACATTTCTCCTAGATTTACGGTATTTACAATGGAATCAAGGCCGAAAGGTTGCGATATCTATAATACCAAGCCCAAGGGTTAACAACTCATGGCTTCTGGATACTAAAACAACAAACAAACAACATTTTCAATATGCAATTGTATGCATTCAGTTTAGTTAGTTACAAACAAAATCAAAATCTATCAACTGTTAGCTGTTATTTTGGTATTTAAACAGACTAACTGGTTTAATCCATGATCATTGTCCTGAGCACAACTTGCAAATGACTTGATACATGAAGTGATTTGACTTGTGACTTGACTTGGAAGAACTCTTGGTGACTTGAGACTTGACTTATGACTTGAGACGACTTACGACTTGGTGACTTGAGACGACTTGAGACTTGACTTACGACTTTAGATGACTTACGACTTGACTTACGACTTGGGACTTGACTTACGACTTCTTGACTTACGACTTGACTTGGTGACTTGAGACTTGACTTACGACTTGGTGACAGTGACTTGAGAACTCGACTAGGACTTGAAGGGTGATAACTTAGTCCAACCTCCGGTGATATGGCAGTTATGGAAAAGGGAGCTCCTTTCTGTTGCTAATGTATTGGCATTTGACTTAAGTGGACCATATCTGTTTTGCATTGATGATGATACAGACCTTTACAGCATGAAATTTAGTGAGACGATCAAATGCTAGGGTAATGGGGCAGACACCTTTCCCCAAATAGTGTGCAGACGAAAAATCTCTGACAATTGGAACTTTAAAATAAAATTAAAAAAAAATTTTTTTTAGTAAAAGTGAGACTGGCCGATCTTCTTTCTAAATTGCAAATTATGATTTTTAAAGCATGTTTGATTCTGGCATGTGCAGATTTGGATCCTTTGCAGGGTTCTTAAATTTATGCATTGAGCTGAGATGGGAATCTAAGGCACTTATTTACTTTGTTGTCTGTGTTATCCATACACTAAAAGTTGAGCTGAGTCAAGAATTGGCATCACAGCACTCGGGGCATTCCCATGCATGCTACGTCCACATCTGCAGCTGTCAGCGCAGAGTTACAGTAATGATGGTACCGGTCACAATCTGGTTATACGTCCGTCTTGCCTTTCCCCTGTGTATAGTGAGCTGGCCAGACCCTCTGGTTACACCCAGATGCCTCGTTCTCTCCAGGCCACAATAATCTTCTATCTCTACTGATTTGTTGCTTGTTCCCAAAGGGCCCTGACCACATCTGCCTTGTCACGTATCAAATCACCACCCAGTGGCACAGAACCAGCCAATGGCCTGGAGAAAAGATCCAAAGTATGCTCACTACCCTTGACCTTTCCAGTAAAGCTTGCCACTCTGCTCGAAGCATCCATGTCTTCACCCATACATCCAAACCATTAGCCACTATCATCATCATGTCTCATGCCACTAGGCATAGACTGTCATGTTTCACCATCTCACATGGTCACTAGAATCACAGATCATGTCATTGAGTTTGGTTTGTTTGCCCCCATCCATATCGCCAAGTTATCAAGAAATGTTAGTTCTTGGGTCTGTTACTTGCTATATGATTTCAGAAAAACACTATCTATATCTTATTTTTTCTGACCAGCCTTTGACTTTCATCTTTCTCAGGAGGACTGGCTTGCTTGTGTTTCTATCACTCCATGAAATTCTTTGTGTTGTTCTCAAAAACCGCATTTATGCTGTGAGTAAAAGTTTTTCAGCTTGAATGAATGAATTTTCTGGCTACAAAAAGGATAACTAAACGAACACTTATACTTGAGAAAAGAGACATTCTGAAGACCATGTATAAATAAATGCCGCTGATAGAAGACACGAGGTTAGATGAAATAACATGTGTAAGAATATGTGAATTAGGAATTAGGTGTGGATCAGACAAAGAGGGGTGTATGAGAGGAAGAGAACGATGAGTTTACAATTAGTGTGCTATCCGAACAGTTAGCATCTACACCTTGAGACATTGGCTGTAGGAGACAGAGCACCTGTGGGTGTGCCCAGTGTGTTATGATATAGATTTTCAAATCAGTAAATCAGTTTGTCTGGGTATTGTCCATGTCTTGCGTGCACATATCACCACAGGCTAGCCATTGTAGTATGAACAAGAAGTCATTCATAAATTCATCAATGGTTTTTAAACAACAAACAGGTCAGTTCTATGTGATGATGTCACCTCAAGATGTTTTACAAGGCCAGAGGCAGATTGCCCCAAGAACCTCATTCTCCCCGAAATTAGAAGGAGTTAGATCTGTACGAGACGATAGGAGACGAGCCACACATAATGAAGGTAACTTTAACTGGAACTTATGTAATTAGGTAAAGTAAAGAATCCTTTTGACAGGAGAAGAGTCACACATAATGAAGGTAACTTTAGCTAGAACATATGTAATTACGTAAACTAAACCCATTTTATACTACTGGCGCATCAGGCAGACTCTGGCTAGACTCCCCTTTTAAATAGATTAATTACTACTCGGTGGTTAGGGTTAAAGGTTACAGGCAAGAGGATTGACTTCACTTCACTTGGTTTTATCCCATCTTGGTCTCTGTCCACAAAATGGCTAGCTAGCTAGCTACTATGAACATCAGGCAAAGCACACACTCCATAGCTCTGGATGAAGTAGCCAGTGAAATGAATGCATGACCTTCTGAGCTTGATGTAGGCGGCTTGATCACTTCACCATGAACCATGATTGTCACTGACTGACAGAGCATGTTGAGAAAGGTGAAGACAAACATGCTTCGTGCAGAGTGGCACGCATCACACTTCAGAAGTCCCAGGTAGTTAGCATCCTTTGGATATTTTCTCCAGGTCATGCCGGTGTGCTGGGAAATAAGCAGGCGGTTAGAACGGCTGGCTCTGCACCATTTGGTGATGAATTGATATATGACAAGTTAGATATTGTGAGGGCTCTTTGGGGAAGGGTGAACAGTGAGAAGGCGCAGATATATCGTTACGGTTTAGGGAAAATGGCTCTGCGAGGATTTACCAGGGGATCTGGCCAACGCTCAACACTCAGGGGAAGGATGAGACAGATGTGCAATCAGTTACTGGTACCATTGGCATTGGAACTCTTCGCTTGCTACTGAAGATGGGGACTGAGCGCTTATATGAGTGTCTTGAGTGCTGCGATATCAATCCTTAGTTTAACATTTAACATTCAACCGCGAACTCATTGGGGGATGTGGTCACAATCTTTCTGTTGCCTTTACTTCCTATAAAATTGAATGGTACCCAGTTTAAGTTGGGTTGACCTAGGAGTCAAGTCAAGGTCGATTCTGGAGAAAAAATATCTTCACTTCCTCAGGATGTCTTCTCCTTCTTTGCGATTACTGGCTGTAAACTCAGACGGAAAGTTCTGGTTGTTCGTCTGCCTCTGGATTCTAGTCCAGAACCTGAGTGCTATGTCCTCTGGATTCTAGTCCAGAACCTGAGTGCTATGTGCACAACCATTTTACAGATTTGACTCATTTGTATGCGGACTGTTGGTTTTTGCCTCTTAGGCAGGGGCACTCCGACTTCAAAGGAAGCTCCCAATCAGTCGACTCTTACGACATGTTTTTAGGTAGGCAGTGGGTTTGCTTTTGTTTTTCTCACAGTGGGGGCCCCAGAACCCACACAGGGACCTGTGGATGTGATCTGAAGACCTTTAGGCCAGTTAGTGAGCCTCTAGCAGTAGATACTACAGCTCCCTGGAACATGTGTAGAGTAAAAGTAAAGGGCTCCTTTCCACACTTTCAGGCGTATAGGGCTAGCCCTATATTTTATAGACCAGTCAGCACTCAGTGGGTGGTGTGTGGTCAACATTGTGCTGGCCGCCTTTGCTTCCCGGTCAATCTGGGAGCCAATTAATTTTTTAATGTTTTCGTTCGGCTTCGAACTCACAACCTTTGAATCCGCAGGTGAGCGTCTAGCAGCTGCATTACAGCAGCTGCCTGGAACATGCGTAAATGAATTTTTCTTAGGTACTTTTAGAGAACGCTAATCCACTAAAAGTTCTTTCTGCATAGTAGCGTGTATTTAGCCTGAAAGCATTTAGCCTGAAAACATTTAGCCTAAAAGCAGCTGACAGATATTGGTTGGTCATGGTCTCACCAGGACCTGATCAGTATTTCACTGCCAAGAATGAAAGCAGTGGCAAATTACTTTCTTCAGGATGCCAGGGATAGTCGTGATTAGTCATGATTTCACAACTGGACCATGAAACTTGGCAACAGCTGGCAAGATGAATGGAAAAGAACAAAGGGAAATGCAAAGAGATGATAACCTAGATGGCTTACCCGAATGGATGGGGCAAGTCAAGAGCACTGACATGATCTGTGAATTTGGTGATCTAATGAGATGGTGAAACATTACAACATATGCTTATCAGCATAGCACATGATGATGATGACGATGTAGTGTCATCCAGATCCAGTGGGTGGTGACAAAGAAACGGTTCAGACTTTAAAAATCCACACTTTCATATTCGAATGCGCTTTGATTTGGTTTACCCCATGTGGGTTCCAGGGCCCTATTATAGGGTAAACAAGAATAGACCCACTGCCTACCCAAAAGCATGTCATAAGAGTAAACTAATTGGGAGCTGCCTTTGAAGTCAGAGTGCATCTGCCTGAAAGGCAAATAACCAACAGTCTGTACACAAATGTGTCAGATCTGTCAAACGGTTGCACGCGTAACTTAGATTCTGGAACAGGGCTGCAGTCCAGAACTTTCCACCAGAGTTTACAGCTGGTGAACGCAAAAAAAAAAAAAAAAAAAAAAAAAAGACAATATGGTTTCTTTCGTTTACTAATGTAGAAAAATAATTTTTTTAAATTTTGTCAACAGTTGAAAGACGCAGACGGGATAAGATAAATAACTGGATAGTCCAGCTTTCAAAACTGGTTCCTGATTGTGCGCAGGAACCCATCAAACAGACCCAAGCAGTGAGTATATATATATATATTTTTTTTACACATTTATGTGTGTGTGTGATAGAATCAGAATTCAACTAAAGCAGTGTTTCCCAAACATTTCTTGGTTGCTGAGCCTTTTTTCAATTATCATTTTTTCACAGCGCCCTAACATAAATAAAGTATGACTATTTGTATGTAAGAGATCAAAACAAATAAAAAAAATTGTATCTTCAAATATTTTGCGGCGCCCCTGTGAATAGGTCGCGGCTCCCTGGGGTGCCGCGTTGCATAGTTTGGGAATCACTGAACTAAAGCTTAACCTTCGTACTGGCTGTAGTGACACCATGATGGAAGCAAGATCGCTGAAAGCAAAGTATCATAGTATTTTACCAGGCAAGATGTCTGCTTAGCAATGACCATCTCCTTGTTCAATTGATTAGTTAGTCAGTTAATCAACAGATTATCCTCATTGCACATGGGACATGACCATAAGTGCTCGGATCCTGTCTTCAGTATATACCCCAGCGTAAGACAACTGATAACACTAGTTCTGTGGTTGTTTACTATTCTTCTCTCACTACCTGTACAGTATTCATGTTTGGCAAGACATCTTTTGACCTGAAAATCCTCTTCTAATATGCTCTATATTTATTTCTCTTCTGTGATTAGGTTGTCCAGTTCTGAAAACTAGTCCTGTTGTTTATTTGGCTAACTTTTTCTGATTACCAGCTGCCTAGAGGTTATTAATGAGAAGTCTAAAAGTCGGCAAACAATTCTAAAACTCAGAAATCAGGAAGGGGTGTGTAATATCCTCCTCCCTGTGAAAATAGCCCTTCATCTAGATTTGAACCTGATCCTGTGAAAATAGTCCTTCATCCAGGTTTGAACCCGATCCTCTGAAAATAGTCCTTCATCCAGGTTTGAACCTGATCCTGTGAAAATAGTCCTTCATCCAGGTTTAAACCTGATCCTGCGAAAATAGCCCTTTATCTAGTTTTGAACCTGATCCTCTGAAAATAGTCCTTCATCCAGGTTTGAACCCGATCCTCTGAAAGTTGTCCTTCATCCAGGTTTGATCCTGATCCTGTGAAAATAGTCCTTCATCCAGGTTTAAACCTGATCCTGCGAAAATAGCCCTTGGTCTAGTTTTGAACCTGATCCCTTCCAATTCAGAGGTGGGCGTCATAGCTCCTTGAGGGATGGTTTGACTGTAAATTTGAACACATCGTAGAATTCTTGTTCTCAGCCAGGGATTTTTAACTATAAGCAAGAAGGTTTGGCAGACGATCCAATATTCAGTGATCAGGAAGGTGTATAACTTCCTCGGGCAATTTTGTTCCTGGTCTCTTCTGAGCCATAGATGGACAAATTGATCATATATTGCACAATCCTTTCTGTCTGTTTTGTTTCCAAGATTGTTTTGTTGAATACACTTGAATGGATTTGTGCTTATTAGTCATTAGTACAGTCATATAAGTAGCAGATACCAATTTAAGATTTAATTGAAGAGAGCTGGTCTCACAACGCCAAGATCAAAATTTGTAAAATGTTAATAAGACTAGTTGTTTTATATGGCTTTGAAACTTGGAGCACAACTAAAAGAGATGAAGGCTTATTACAGGTTTTCAGAAACAGAGTATAACGACATATCTTTAGACCTATCAAAGATGTAAACAAGGGGAAATGAAGAGTGAGAAGCAACAATAAAATTCGTAATTTGTTTAAATCACGATTGATCATTAGCATCATGAGTGCTAATAGGTTGAAATGGCTGGGGCATATTGAGAGAATGTCAGATGACAGAGAGGTAAAAATTGTATACACAAGGGAGATGAATGGTCATAGACCATGAGGGAGACCAAGAAGATGATAGAGAGATAATTTACAGAGATACCTGCAAAGACTTGGTATTACCATCTGGAAACAGAAGGCCGACCAGAGAGGTGAAGGGAGGATGTCTGCAGTAGTGAACCTCAAGAGTTTGGAATGCTGAAGAAGAAGAAGAAGAGCTAGTCAGCTGACTTCATCATGCTGTCACCACATGACAATCTACACAGAGGTTCTCAACCTTTCCCGATTACAGATTCTCTGTCACTTCCGAATATTGCCTTTTTTTTTTTTTTTTTTTTTTTTTAAAGTATCTAGAAACCATGAGTTGTTAACCCTTTGGCTTAGTACTGTGAATATCGCAACCCCTCGGCCTTGATTCCATAATAAGTACCGTAAATCTGGGAGAAATGTGGCTTTTCTTCGGGAACCGGAACCAGAAGGAGTTCGTCACCCGGTCACAGCGAAGTCAGGTTTAACCAACAACACTAGCAAGCTGGGCTTTGCCCTCTTTAAAATTGTCACACCAGTGGCATATTGGGCATATGATGTTAGACTCAGTATTTTTTTTTATAGACCATCAGCACTCAATGGGGTATGTGGTCAACATCACATTTGCCACCTGGACTTTACCTGCAACCCATTTTAGGCTAGGTCGACCTAGGAGATTGCGACTGGCTTCTTTACTTCCAGTTTTGGTTATAGAACTCTGTACCCAGAATAGGGCCCACAAACTGGCACAAGGATACATTTTATATTATCTATCCATTTTTGTTTAAATTATTCGTGGTGGCACTTATAATTTTAGCATTATTTTTCCCACATGGTCCGAATTTTAGTACACAGAACTGGTGATTTTTTTCGGAGTGCTTAGTGAGTCACTGTCACGGAGCGGCTAGACTCTCACCGTGAATCGGAAGGTTGTGGGTTCGTTCCCTGGCGGAGCCAGACTTTTTTCAAAAATGACCTTGGCTCCCAGGTTGACCCAGCCTTGAGTGGGTACCTGGTGCAGTAGCGGGAAGTAAAGGCCAGCGTGATGCTGACCACATCACCCATCTTGTGCCAATTGGTCTATAATAATATGTGTCTAGCCCTATATGCCATATACGCCTAAAGGCGTGGAAAAGGGTCCTTTACTTGACTTTACTTAACTGCATTGCCTTGTGTCAGTTTTAGCCCCCCCCCCCCCCCCTTTTCCGCTGTATGTCATAACTTAATCTGTATGGTTAAATTTGATTACTTTCAGAGCAAAGGAGGTATTTTATCCAAAGCCTGTGATTATATTCAAGAACTGAGAACAACCAACAATCGGCTAGCAGAGAGCCTGAAGGATGTTGAGCGTCTGCATATAGACAATGAATTGCTAAGGCAGCAATGTGAAGAACTGAAAAATGAAAATGCTATTTTGAGGTCACATTTGCAGCAGCATGGAATTGTGGTAGATATGGGTTCGGGACCATCATAACAGCAGGTGTTATTGTGTGTTTGATAGTTCATGAGTTCACGGATGTTCGGTTGGTTGGATAGAACAGAAAGTTTGTCGCTATATGTGTTAATTAATATTGGTGCAAACCTTTTGACTTTAAATATTAATTTGAGAGTGTGTGTGGAAACTGTGATGGTTGGGGCATATAGAGATATATTAGTCTTAGTCTTAGTCGAGGTTTCAGCTTCACTACAATCGGGTTTTCCCCATACTTGCTGTGTTCCTGTGCCAGTGAAAATCAAATGAAATGTCCCTCATATTGCATTTGACAAACAGGTGAGCAATCCAGAAATATGTGCATGCAGTAAATGTATACTTAAATTGCTAGAGAGAATGCCAGATAACAGAAACAAAAAAACCATGTACACAAAAGACTTGAATGACCAGGAGATAGACCAACACACCAAGAAGACTGTGGGGAGATAATCTACAGGTAGACCTGCAAACACTTGGAGTCATCATCTACTTTGCTTTCACGGGTTGTAAACTCCGGCAGAAAGATTTGGTTGTTTGTCCACCCATGGACTTTAGTCTGGCTGGACTCGATGAGTATGCTCAGGAAGATAGAGAAGGGCTGGGTCTGAAGGCACTGTTTGGTGGCTCTACAGCTTTCATGGCTGACAAGGTTTCATTTTTGTGCCAGGACGTGGGGGTACAAGGATATGAGCAAGCTGAGTGATTCGCCATGCAATAAAGATAATCTGTTGACTAACTAACTTGAGTTTTGCATGCACATCCGTTTTACAGATCTGGCTCATTTGTACCTTTTTGAATCTTCTTCTTTTTTACTGGTTGTAAACTTTGGCAGAAAATTCCTGGTTGTTTGTCCACTTCTGGATTTTAGTCATTTTGAAGAGTTAAATTTTGCTTGCACACCTGTTTTATAGATCTGGCTTATTTATATGCAAACTGATGGTTCCTTGCCTCTCAGACAGACGCACTCCGACTTTGTCTTGGTCATATCTGTTTGACCAGTCCCCCAGTTTGGAACCTGCTGAGATGTAGATGGGTCTTGATCACTCCTAGGGCACCACCAAGTCGCCACTTCTGCTTCTGATATTTTGGGTGATTATAGATGTCATCAGTATTATATAAGAAAATCAGTGTAATGGTTGATGATTTTGAAGACATCTGATTTGGTCAGATTTAAAGTTTTTATATACACAGTGTCATATTTGATGTTGAAAACTTTATTGAGTGTGTCAAACTTGAAGCGTATTTACATGATGTTATATGTGATAATGAGAATATTGAGTGTCTGAAGCATATTCAAGTGTATCTATGTGATGTCATATTAATGAAATCACTTGAGTGTATGAGATGTGAAGCATATCCAGATGTATCTAAATGATGTAGTATTTGATGTTGAAAACTTTACTGTGTCAGATCTGATGTGTTTGCTATGTAATGACATATTTGATGATACAAATAATGAGTGTGAGGTGCGAAGCATATATTGATGTATCCAAGCAATGTCATATATGACATACTGAGTATGTCAGGTGTGATACCTGTCCAAGTGTCTGTGAGGTGTCATATTTGATGGTGACAATTATGAGTGTGTGAAATGTGAAGCCCTTCCAAATGTATCTGAATGATATTATGTTTGATGTTGAAATCTTTACATTGTCGGATTTGAAGTTTATTTGATATCATATTTAATTTGAGTGTGTGAGGACTGAGGCATTTGCAAGTATATCTATGTGAGAGTGTATTTGATGATGACAGTATCAAGTCTGAAATGCAAAGCATATCCATGTGTATCCAAATGTGATATTTGATGCTGAAAGCATGTGTGTCAGATCTGAAGTGTATTTAGACTTGTTTGATCATACATATACTGGGTATGAGAGGTTTGACGTGTATCCAAATAATGTCATAATTGATGTTGAAAACTAGTGCTTATTTATGTCTTTCCTAAGGGCACCAGTCATGGTAAACTTAACTGATATAGTGATTTGACTATTAATTCCATATGTGTTAGATTGATGCTGTTTCCATAATGTTTGTTTTAATCTGACATCATGTGTGTAAGATTGTCTGGATACCACTGGAGTTTGTGCCTTCACTCGCTGTAACCACTGGTTTGAATTCCATATGTTTATTAGAAAGCCTGCTGCCAATGCTGCCGGCTATGAGGAGCAGTGTGTTTGGGCACTTGTCCTGTATTTTGATAGACCAGTCACCTCTAGTTGGGTTATGGGATTGGTCTCATGCTGGCTGCCTTTACTTCTGCAGACTATTTTTGCAACTGAATTTTAGCTTGGTTGGTTCCGGAGTAAGGTCAGTTCATCAACCACATCAGAATGTAGACATGGACCAACCGGTATTTCAATCACAAATCTGTGGAGAGGCATTGATAGCCCTCACCATTAGGCAAGGTTAGGATGACGACAACCCGAAAGTGAGCACGATAGCCTTCGCACTATCCTATCTCCTTCTTAACAAATAAAATGATTGTGATTATTTCTGGTTTATGTTTGTTTGAATTAGATCTGTGGATGCTGGGAATATCATGTATAGTTGACTCATGCTGTAATGCCTGGCCATCGTTTCAGAGGGTGACTGTTTTGTAATTTATTGTTTAAATTGAGAGCCTGTCTATCAAGATTGATTGTGCAGTATAAAATACTGTTTAGATTGTGTGCCTGTCTATCAAGATTGATTGTGCAGTATAAAATACTGTTTAGATTGTGTGCCTGTCTATCAAGATTAATTGTGTAATGTAGAATACTGTTGAAATTTTTTATCTGTCTTTCAAGATTGATTGTGCAGTATAAAATACTGTTTAGATTGTGTGCCTCGTCTATCAAGATTGATTGTGCAGTATAAAATACTGTTTAGATTGTGTGCCTCGTCTATCAAGTTTGATTGTGCAGTATAAAATACTGTTTAGATTGTGTGCCTCGTCTATCAAGATTGATTGTGCAGTATAAAATACTGTTTAGATTGTGTGCCTCGTCTATCAAGTTTGATTGTGCAGTATAAAATACTGTTTAGATTGTGTGCCTCGTCTATCAACATTGATTGTGCAGTATAAAATACTGTTTAGATTGTGTGCCTCGTCTATCAAGTTTGATTGTGCAGTATAAAATACTGTTTAGATTGTGTGCCTCATCTATCAACATTGATTGTGCAGTATAAAATACTGTTGAGATTGTGTGCCAGTCTATCAAGTTTATCTAGTTTAATTTGTTGAACACTTAAGAACATCCTTTGTTAAATTTCTTTAAAATTATAATGGATGCTGTAGATCTAAAAGTATTTCTAGCCATATAGTAGATTCTTTAAGTGGTGTTAGGTTTTCTTATATACTAGGCCACAGGTTAATAAAGTTGGGTGGCTAGTTCCACTGCCTGCAACCTTTACTTCTCAGAAAGTCAATGAGATGTCATCTCCACAATACAGCAGATCTCCAGTATTCTCTGTTACTGGGTTGTAAGATGGGATGAATTTAAGCGGAGTTGAGTCAAGAATTGACATCACAGCACTTGGAGCACTCCCGTGCATGCTCCGTATGTATACACATCAAGGAGATGTCATCTCCACAATACAGCAGATCTCCAGTATTCTCTGTTACTGGGTTGTAAGATGGGATGAATTTAAGCGGAGTTGAGTCAAGAATTGACATCACAGCACTTGGAGCACTCCCGTACATGCTCCGTATGTATACACATCAAGGAGATGTCATCTCCACAATGCAGCAGATCTCTAGTATTGTCTGTTACTGGGTTGTAAGATGGGATGAATTTGAATTAAGTTGAGTCAAGAATTGACATCACAGCGTTCAGGGCATTCCCGTACATGCTCCATATGTATACACACCTCTGCACACAATAGTTCTTAGATTCTATTAAAAGTGTTAGTTTCATGTAAACATTGTTTGAAGTACATGTATCTGCGACTACTGTTTGTAAATATTGAAGAAGAATACTATATGTGTGTGTACAGATATAAACATGCTTTATTAAAACCATAATAATTTCTTCCTTTTCTTGGTTTGTATGTGGCGGAAGTACTTTGCTTGTATTATAAATTTGTGTGTTTTGAGTGACACTCAGAAGAAAATGACAGTGCGGCAGGGGATCTGGCCAATGGTCAACACTCATGGAAAACTGGCCAATGCTCAACACTCATGGAAAAGGGGAGATGGATGTACAATCAGAGCTCTTCAGGGAGTTACCAGGCGATCTGGCCGATGCTTAACAGTCATGGGAAAGGCGAGAAGGATGTTCAGTCAGAACGCTGCAGGGAGTTACCAGGGGATCTGGCCAATGCTCAACACTCATAGAAAACTGGACAATGCTCAGCACTCATGGAAAACTGGACAATGCTCAACACTCATAGAAAACTGGACAATGCTCAGCACTCATGGAAAACTGGCCAATGCTCAGCACTCATGGAAAAGGGGAGACAGATGTACAATCAGAGCTCTTCAGGGAGTTACCAGGCGATCTGGCCGATGCTTAACACTCATGGAAAAGGGGAGACAGATGTACAATCAGAGCTCTTCAGGGAGTTACCAGGGGATCTGGCCAATGCTCAACACTCAAGGGAAAGGGCAGACAGATGTACAATGAGACAGTTACTGGTACCATCGGAATTGGAACCCTTCGCTTGCTGCTGAAGATGGGAATGGAGCGTTTATGGGAGTGTCCTGAGTGCTATGATATCCATTTTTGATTCAACTTAGAAGACTGGATGAAATATGAAGAAATTAGGTGAAAAAAACTGGCAGCATAAAACCGAAAGTATTTTTTGTGTGAGCTTCATTATGTGTTGATATAAGTCTGTAGTTAGACCTGGCTTCAGAACTAGTCTGACTGTACAGGCTATAGGCATGCAACCGTGAAGTACATTGCATCTGACCCCCCCCCCCCCCCCCCCCCTTCTCCCCCAAGATGGAGGAAGTTAATCAGACAGTCAACAGCAACCAGTGACCCAATGAGGATGAAGATTATGACGAACTCTGTAGTAAT